CGGAGATCGTGCGTGTCGAGTGCGCGAAATGCAGGCGAGAGTGCGATGTGCCGGGTGCCCGCGCAACCCTGGGGAGCTGGAAGCTGAGAACTGGCGACGTGGTGGTGCGAGAGTAGTACGCGGGTAGTACAACTTGAGGGCGTGGAGTATCTGGGGAGCTGGAAGCTGAGAACTGGCGACTGCGTAGTACAACTTTAGTACGCGGAGTAATCTGTGGAGCTGGAAGCTGAGAAGTGGCGACTTGGTAGTACAACTTTAGTGCGCAGAGTAGCTGGGGAGTGGGAAGATGAGAACTGGTGAGTGGGTAGTAGCTGAGAACTGGCGACTTTGTAGTACAACTTAAGTAGTACGCGGAGTAGCGGAGGAGCTGGAAGATGAGAAGTGGCGACGTGGTTGTTCAGATGGCAAAGCCAGCACGCTGGCTGCCATCATAGTTGAAGTTGGTATGAGCCAGCACGCTGGCTACCATCATAGTTGAAGTGGGTAAGCCAGCACGCTGGCTGCCATTGTCCAGATGGCAAAGCCAGCACGCTGGCTACCATCATAGTTGAAGTGGGTAAGCCAGCACGCTGGCTGCCATTGTTCAGATGGCAAAGCCAGCACGCTGGCTACCATCATAGTTGAAGTGGGTATGAGCCAGCACGCTGGCTACCATCATAGTTGAAGTGGGTAAGCCAGCATGCTGGCTGCCATTGTCCAGATGGCAAAGCCAGCACGCTGGCTACCATCATAGTTGAAGTGGGTAAGCCAGCACGCTGACTGCCATTGTTCAGATGGCAAAGCCAGCACGCTGGCTACCATCATAGTTGAAGTGGGTAAGCCAGCACGCTGGCTGCCATTGTTCAGATGGCAAAGCCAGCACGCTGGCTGCCATCATAGTTGAAGTGGGTATGAGCCAGCACGCTGGCTACCATCATAGTTGAAGTGGGTAAGCCAGCACGCTGGCTGCCATTGCCCACATGGCAAAGCCAGCACGCTGGCTGCCATCATAGTTGCAGTGGGTATGAGCCAGCACGCTGGCTACCATCCTAATTGAAGTGGGTAAGCCAGCACGCTGGCTGCCATCATAGTTGAAGTGGGTAAGCCAGCACGCTGGCTGCCATTGTCCAGATGGTAAAGCCAGCACGCTGGCTGCCATCATAGTTGAAGTGGGTAAGCCAGCACGCTGGCTGCCATTGTCCTCTTACCAGCAGCCCAAATGCTCACGACGATGAGCTGGGCTGTCACCGCTTGGCCGCCGGTGGGGGGTTTGGGAGGCCGCATCGCACACAAACACCCACACACTCCCTCAACTTCCACGAACACACACATACGCAGACTCGTTTCCACACGGACATAGACACACGCACAGAAACCCACACACTACCTCAACTCACTCGACTTAACACTTCTCACTACACACTTACCGGATAACTCGCACTCTGATTTCCTACGTGATGAAAAATGCTTTCGGGCCACTCGTCGTCTAGTTTTTTTTTGTGGTTCGATGAAACGGGTCGCGCAAATCGAGAAGTGTACACTGGGTGCGCAGACCACTTGCCACCACGGCACAATGTTTGGCTCAAGAAAACAGACCACTTTTTGAGACGCATGGGTTATGAGCCCAAGCGGTTTCGGACCATTTTCAACACTAAGCAGTGTGGTTTTCGCGCTTCCACAATGGGTATTTTCATGGACCTGCCTATTTTCATGTCCTTTCCGTGGCTGTTTTCAAGACGAGCTTGGGGGGGTTCCGTGGCTGGTCCCTGAGGGTCACCACCTCACCTGGACTGTTGATGTGGAGGTCTCCCTAACCTCCATGGATAGCACCCCTTTGTGACTGCTGGAGTCTATATGTTCTTAAAGGACACTGGCCCTCCCACCACCTGGTCTGTCAAAGGCGAGGCAGCATAGATCTGTGTGGTTGAGGGTATGCTCTTGGAGAGGTGGTTGAGTTGAAAGAAAGACACGGGCTGAGCTGGATGCGGCAGGTGCACATTTTTTTTGATTTCTTTTTGGTGCCCCCTTGAAGCTCATCCATGTCCAATGTGTCAAAGGATTGTACGTGTTGCTTACAGCAAGCTTTCAAACAAAGAACTTGGTCTTTCGCTCACCATTCCCCTGACACCACGGAGATCGGGTGGTGTATAGACACCTAACTGTGTGTTTACCCTCCAACAACCCAAACGAATACGCGCAGTGTCGCAAATAGGCGAGCTGAACCCTGCACTGGTGCTGGGGCTGGTGCTCGGCAACGTGGTGAATCCCGGCCTCTCGGCGCGCGGATCGACCGGCAGCTCCACCGGCGGGTTCTTCCGAGAAACCGGTCATGGTTGGCCTGACCCAAAGGTGCAGACCGCTGGATATTGCTGGCTCGCTTGGAAGGAGACAGAACGGAACTGTTCTGAGGCAAGGCTGTTTTGTTTTGCTCACTTCCATGTGTGCGTTCACTTGGCACTTGCTATCACCTGCCCTTTTGCGGACGAAGTTGCTGACCAAGTTCTGGTACTCATTTGTCAGGGCACAAAACAGCTGGGAGGATGAAGATGAGCATTTGTTGGCCAAGGTTGTCCAACAGTTAGCGAACCCCAAGCACAAAGAACACACAAATGCGGACTATTGATCTCTTTGTGAAGGATTCACATCTTAGTTCCAGATACCAGAGCCCTCCAACAGGCTGTTTGAAGACCCTAACAGGTGGTTTCCGGGGGATCTGGCTGTTTGAAGACCCTAACAGGTGGTTTCTGGGGGATCTGTTGTCACCAGGAAGCACCTGTTGGAGGGTCCAGGTATATATATATATATATATATACAGTACAGTAAACCTCTTCAGAAAAACTTTTGGGTAGTTCCAGGGTTCCACTATCTAAGGATTCTAGTTGAACCAACCATTCACCCAATCACTCCCCACTGGTGGTGCTGGGCATTTTGTTGCCTATCAAAGCGCGATCTGCGCTCTAAGGCAAGGGCGGTCACTTGGCAGGAGGTGAGTCGATGGTCATTGATGCTGTGGGGTGTGGAGTTCGGCTTCCGTGTGGTCAGTTGCTTGGGTCCCTCCCACGAAGAAACTCTCCGTTTCTGTGAGCACATCTGTGAACACCTGGAAACTGGTGGTGATGTTCTTTTGCCCAAGGGAGAGGGTCTGTCAGAGTCCAAGCCATTGAGTGGCACGCATGACCTGTCGCGTTCACGCGACGGTCGCGAGTCCCACGTCCGCTCCCGTGAATCGGGACACAACAGGACCTTGTTGCTGCCTTTGTTGCACAAAAGGAACCGTGGAGGGTAAAGATGCGCACCATCTGAAAATAATTGAATAATCCATGACATCTATTCAGCTATGGCAGCTGGGATCAGATCCCTTCCCATCCACAGGACAGAAGGACACCAAAGATCTCTTTGTTTCAAGCCCAGCCAGGCCCAGCCACCATTGATTTCAATGGTCCGAATCCCGAACCACCCGCCACAATTTGGGGCGGATTGGACACGCCATGATCGCTCCGGAACCCCCCCCACGTTTGGGCTCGAACGGAACCACGGAACGACGCCGGAAAGGGTCGACGCCGAGGGGTGGGCGCGCCGGCGGCCTGGCTCGTGCCCTGGACGGCAAGCGGGTGGCATCGGCTGTGTTCGTTCCTGCCCAGAGTGAGTTCACCTATAGGACTGGTCTTCGGATTGGTCCCATGGTCTTCGTGCCAAAATTGGAGATCCTGCCATGGGCGCCTCGAGGTGACCGGTGAACCGTACGCGGAAGCCCGTGCGACCTCTGGAACCCCTTTGTGGAACCGACCGAAACCAGAACCGACACCAAGAGGTGCCTATCCCAAAGCACTCCATGTACATTGGGGTGGTTGGGGGGTCTTTCTGGGGCGGCAGTCCTATGGCAGTTGTGGCCACACAGATCCGTTGCTGGAGCCTCACAACCGTCCCGCCACCCCCCCCCACGCGGTCTCGGGTCCTTCCCGGTCCAACCCTTCCGCCCTGCCGTCCCGGGACCCTCGGTTGGACGCTCCACCCGCTTCCGGTCCGGGACGCTCCACCGTGGGGGGATCGGGTGGGTGGCACCGCGTCGCAGGTGCTTCTGGTCTGCGAGTTCCTGGGCGCCTACGTGTCCTCGGTGATCTTCCGCATCACCCACCGATTGGAGCTCATGCTCGCTGGCGGAGAGGGGGACGGCGGTCGAAATGAATTGACCCGGAGATGTCAAGGGGCAGTGAAGATGCCCTGGAATGATGGCTTTCGTGGGGGCTGTTCTTTTTAAAACACGGGCCAAGTGGGTGCAATGTGAGGGATTTCAGAATCTGACCGGTCATTCTTGGGTCGGCTAGTTGCTTGATGTTACTTGTAATTCCCATAGTGAACAGACAGGACGCATCAGGACGCCCGACAAAACCATTCCCTTCAGTGAACCACGCGTTTGGAGTCACTAGCGCAGCGCTCCTTCAAGTTTCCATTGTAACGAGGCACCAGTCTTTTTTGGTACCTCGTACAATGGACCTTTCATGACATATCCTTGCAAGAGCCTGCTGAAATGAACCGTGCATGGGAAGGGCAGGAACGGTATAATTCCTTTTACCGGAGAACTGGGTGGTCAAAGATTTGGATGCCATGTATAAACGTAAACCAGACTTTCCAATGGGACTGGCATAAGTACATGGGGTGGTGGGGCGGTGAATTGTCCCGGGGGGCGCGGCCTGGATCCTCTTCCAGTACCACAAATACGTCGTGTGGCTGGGTAAAGGTGTCTGGTCCTTCCACGGGGTAACAGTATCTTTTCGGTTGATCTCTTCTAGGACCCACGGTCGGGGTGGTTAATGGACACCCCTTAACCTCTAAGGGGCTATCAATAGACACCCCTTAGGGTGTCCTGGTTTGGTTTATATTTTGACATACTGTATGTTCGTTTGATCCTCCGCTCAGACTCAACGCTGACAGTGTCGACTCGCAAACATGGAGTTCAGCTGGTCACACGGTCGAGTTCAGCGGTTGATTTGCCTGGAGTGTGACCAGCCAAGACTCAGATGGCATGTTTGGTTACAGGTCAAAACGGTACTCCGAACGCTTCGGACCTCACAGGACGAACGCTTCGTCACCAAACCGGGTTCACCGAGCGAACGAAGGAACGAGTGAACGAGCGAAGGCGTGAACGCGTGGCACGGTCGTGCGTTTGGGGGGTAGATGCCCCACACGACCAAAAACCTGAGGGTCCGTTCCTGCTAGAATGGCTAGCATACTTTTCCTTGTAAACGTATAAAGGATTCTGAAATTCCCTTTCAGGTCCCCTGAAGATCATTTTTTGTTTTGGATATAGTTTTTGACTTCCAGGCAGGCCCTCTCTGCGTGGTGAGGCCCGATGACGACGAGGACGACGTGAAGGGCTTGAGCAAGGCACGGTGGCCGTGTGTCTGAACACGAACCAGGACCCAACGAGGGTTCCACTTCTCATAGAGCTGTTGGAAGTGACGGACAGGAAATCCATCCTTCGGTGAAGCACACAGACTTCCTGCACTGTAGAATCCTGTAGTTGTGCAAAGGCTGAGAAGCTATGAATGTTGGAGGGAAGTCCGATGTTTAGTAGCGCAAGGGGGACAAGCCTGTAGCAGCCGATGGATGTGCCATTGTACCCATTAAGCACGAGAAGGGCATGGACAACAGACACCCTCACCTTGCATTGCCATGTCCCTTTGACAGCACTTCATGTTCAAAAACTCTCATGTCTCCCAAACCTTGCAAGGATGCTGAACTTCTGTGATTCGGGTCTGGTGGTGGTTCCAATCTCGTTCGCTCCTGGAGAGGTCAGGTCCGAACGCAAGCCCTTCCTGACGATGACGACACGTCACACGTCACGCGTCTCTTCGACCGACCTTGTGGGCCGAAGGACACGTCACACGGCCCCGACGCTGCGAGCTCCGAGCCTCCGTGCCCCGGCGCAGGCAGACGTGGAAGCGCCCGTGCCCGCCAGCAAGGCTGCAGCGCTGGGGGGCCCGGACCGAGCTCGGACGGTGTGGTTTGGGACGGCCAGCGGAAAAACGCCCTCCGGGCGTGCGGAGTGCTGCCACTGCCAGCCGCCCGGGCGTTACTGGGTGTCTTCAGGTTGAGTTCAGACGACTCCTTCCACCGACTCCTGGGGGTCTTGGTGTTGGGCGGCGATGCCGACACTTCGGCAGCGGGGGATGGAGCTGTGCCAGCCAGGCCACCGAAAAAACGATGACTCCCATCCTATTTCCATGTCTGGCGATTTGCAGCCATCCACAGACATACGGAAGGTCGTCCATGTCCCAACTTCCGGCTTCTTCACTTGGCCACCGGCGGGGAGTGAAGTTCCATCCCTTTTTTCCATCCGGACGAGCCAACGATCCCCTCCGTGGCTCGAGTCCGAGGCGCCCGGCCTCGTGAGCCGCCGGATGAGCACTTCCAGCTATGAACCGGACCGGCCATGCACAGCGCTCCGCGCACCGCGCGCGGTGTGGATCATCGGCCGCGAAGAAGGCGAAAAAGGGGGCAGGCCGCCCAGGATGGGTGGGAGCTTCTTCGAGAAGACGGAAGACGGTTTGGTTCTCTTCGGGATCTCTTCGGAACTTCTTGCAACTTCTGGGCACCTCTTTTGGAGTGCAAGAGACTCAAAGGGATGTCATGACCGTCTTTCGACCAGGTCCTTGGATGCTCCAGATCCGTGGTGTTTCGCACCGGGGACCAGTCCAACCCGAGGGTTTCTTTTGCAGTTTGATCCACTCTTTTCCTTTAAGGCCCTGTAGGGATCCAAGTACCTTCTCAGCAGGTGAGGACGGAGACACCGCTATGTAGGTTTGGAGTGTCCAGTCGTACCTTCTGAGGTTCGGTAAGGTACTTGGATCCCTAGGGAGGCTTGATCCACTCTTTTCTTTTGGCCAGGTTTCAGGGCACCAACCCGTGTCTTTCGCTTCAAACGGGCAGCGCGCCCTACACCTTGGGTCCCATCGACCCTCCAGACCGACCCGCTGCGGGCGCCGTGCGGACGGCACGGCCCCGGCGCGGCACCGGCCCGAACCGTCCGAAACGGGTGGGCCATCGGACGGACGAAACCACATGGACGTGGAAGTCGGAAGAAGGGTTTGAGAGGGCCCAACTCTAGAATTCCGATCCCGGGTTTTGGTGGTTCGGGTCCGGTCTGCAAACTGGAGAGCCCGGACTCGGATTCGTCTCGGGTAGAAGGAAGACTCCGTCTTCCACAAACAGGGGCTGCACTCCACTTCCATGGTTCGTGAGTGAGAGCGTATACGCCTTCTTTGACAGCGACAACATCGATGCGGAACACGCATGAAGCCCCGCAGAAGTCACGCGCCTCACTCCCTCCAAATCCTGACACCCGCGGCGAGAGTGACTCGCCGGTGGAACCGGTTCCATGCGCCATGCGCTGTGGCTCAAAGCAGATCTCGGGTAGAGTTGATACGATTTCACCAAGGTGACCAGTGACAGCTCTGTGTGATTTTGGTTTGGGCATCCTCTCAATTCTGGAGCGCAGCTTGCTCAAAAGAAAGTTGGATCATAGGAGATTCTGGAAGGCTTTTTGGATGTTTCAACCCTTCAACCTGCAGATCTGAAATCCCATTTTCACATAGCTTTTCAATCACCATGTCTTCACCACCATGTCTTTTCATAGCCCAGGCTGAGGTTTCTCACATGGTGACCCACTTCCAACCCGACCGACCCACTTCCGCCCCGCCTCGACCCCAACCCGACCGGGTTTGCCGATTCGACGCCCACAGCTGTCGCGGCCGCGGATGTGTGCGCGACACGTCGTTCGGCACCATGATGAACACGAGCCACGGATGCAGAAAGCCGATTTGGGCACAGCTCTTCACCCAATTCAGAGGCAATTTAGATGATGAACGGGTTGTGAAAGCACCTGATTTTTTCCCGAAAGCACCTGCGAAGCGTTCTCCGTAAAGAATCGAGTGGCAAACTTCAACTGTCCAACCATCATCGTCGTCGTCGTCGTCGTCGTCGTCGTCGTCGTCGTCGTTCTCGACATCGTCATCATCGGCGTCGTCATTGTCATCATCTTTTTCTTTCTATACGCTCTGCATCCAGCAGATTGCGTGGACCATCCAAAACGACCAGTGGTCCCTCGCTCGTGTTCCGAAGAACCTGCACAGATCAGTCAAAACACATTGAATCTCTCTTGCTTGCTGCCGCTGGAAATCTCTAAACAAAAAGCAGGGCTGACAGGTGCAGACTCTCGATGTGCGTGCGCCCGCTCGCGCAGCGCCTCGCCCCGCTGCAGCTCTGGATGACATTCCACAAGGTCTCGATGCCAGTCAGCCCATGGAGTGGTTGAGGCGTGACAGTTAATATACTGACTATATATACTACTGTATTTTACCTTAGATTGTTAGCCATTTGTTCCTGAGTAGGTGAGTTGCAGAGTTTTGCAAATCAAGTTGGATGGTTGGGATGGTGCACAGTTCAGCTCCTCGAGGTGGTGGGCAGTGGCAGCTCTCTACCTGTGGAATAGTCATCATCATCATCATCATCATCATTGTTGCTGTGCTTCCGGGCCACACTGTCGTCTAGTTTTTGGTTTTTGCGGGGTGACAGGGTGCAGTCAACGGCTTTTTTTTGGAATTGTTTCCCTGCCGAAGCTCATGGAGAAACTGAAATGGTCAGGAAGAAAAACAAGAATTTGCACAAATTCACCACCAAATAGATCATCAGCTTTCCACTGGCAGGCAAAAGAAACTTATGGACTTTAAATTGACATTTTCCAGCATGGCACAACAGCAGGAGGCAGATTTGAGTGAGCAGAAGGAACCAAGGGAGGCAGGTTGGCCATGTCGGACTACTCCAGCAGCCAATCCATGCAGCTGGGGGATGCAGAGGATGCCGTTCTGGAAATTCAGGTGATGGGTGTAAGTGGAGAAGGCTTGCAGGTCCAAGTGCGCCAGTCCCTCACTTGTTCTGAGGTTCGAAAGGTCATTCGCGATAGACTTCCTTTGAAAGCTGGAGCAAGAGTCGTGGTGATGAAAGGATTCGAGAAGCTTTCGTTGAAGAAGACTTTGGTCCAAGAAGGTTTGGCGCAAGAGAAACCAGCCACTTTGTCCTACGCTTATGAGAAGGCACACTTGCAGGAGGCTTGGAGATGCATCCAAGATCACCCTGTGGAGGATGCGTCCATGGCTCTTGAGGGGATACTGCAGCTACAAGGGCTGAAGAAGCCAACACAGCTGAGGAACCTTGTCACGCTCAAAGAGCTTGCCTTTGCTTATGAGTTCAACGAGAGCCTGGAGGGATACGTTTTGCCTCACAGCCTCAACAGCTTGACATTTGGCCGAAATTTCAATCAGAGTTTGGAGGGAGTGGCTTGGCCCAGCAGCCTCCAGA